CCAGCCACTCCTCCCCCAGTCTGTAGTACTTCTAAAGATATTGAATAGTATCGCATAGCACACTGACTGCTGAGGAAATCCACTCATGAGCAGCTGCTAATTTGCCTTCAAGCGGTTAACCACCACCCTTTGAGCCTGGCGTTCTGTCTGGTTTTCAACACCCGTCTCGTGGTTCATCCGTCCTGTCTGCATCTTACCGGCTCATCTACATGGATGTAGGTGACCGTGTCAAACTAAGGTCAGGGTAGGTGGTGTCCGCAGTTCTCCTCTCATCTGTCGGGCATCTATTGATGCCTTCATCAAAGAAGGCGCTCAGGTTGGTAGAACATAATTTACTCTTGATAAATCTAATCACCTCCTTGTCCTTCATGTGCATGTAAATAACTTCTGTTGTAATTTCCCTTGGGACTGAAGAGTTTATATCTTGTTGTTACGACAACTTACCCATATAAACACTTTTTTTATGTCTGAATATATTTCCTTAAAAGAAGGTACTGTAGCAAGATGAGAGTGCTACTTAATTAATCCCAGTTATTCAGACGTTTTTAGCAGTTAGTAAAGCATCAACGTTTTACTTTATACGTAACTACAAGAAAATAATTTGACATCAGTGGGAAAAGGATTGCAACTAAAATTTTAATACTTTGAATTTTCTCTGGTGCAAGTTTAAAAGTGGCCTCTTCACTGTATGTCTTCTTCATCATCTTTTGTTTCCATGCTTTTATAAAGTTGTTTTCTCCTACATGTATTTATTCTGTGCAACTCCAATTAAAAAGAGTAGTTCTTAGACCTAACTAATTTCTGAGTGTCTTATATGGTTTAAAAAAGCTAATTTACATACCTTTGGCTTGAAATAAAGTGGCTTGTCCTGTATTGAGCACCCACAGTTTCCAAAATGTCTGTGAGATTTGCATGTCCTGCTTACCTTTTACAGCCAGGCAACTCTTGGGTGTCCTAAGTAGAAGCCTAACTTTATGCACCAGCATTTGAAATTGGGGATATGATTTGTGAAATATTTTTCTTTTCAAATTCATGATTGCTAGGTTAAATAAAGATTTTTTTCCTGGCAGTTTGCAGGAATTTTTAATTTCAGTGTAGTGATTGTCTAACTGTGGAACTGATGAAAATGTAAAATGAAGCTTTGTAATAACTGTAGTTCTTGTGATGATTTATAATGTAGTATTTAAGCAAACATATAAAGTAATTTGATGTTACTATTAACAGTGCATATTATATCACAAACCAGTGTGATTGTTCTGTTTATACTATTTTTTATTTATTTACAGGTCATTGCCTACAACTCAGAAGGCAAAAGCAGTCCAAGTGAGACAGTAGAATACGTTACTTGTCCAGACAAGCCTGGAGTACCTTCAAAACCCACAGTAAAAGGAAAAATTCATGCACAGAGTTTTAAAATAACCTGGGGTAAGACTGTTGTCCAGCTCTGTTTAGAGTATGTCCTCTGTCTTATATATAAATATATTTTTTTAATGTTGAGATGTATTTGTAAATAGGCCAGATTTTACTTCAGTAACACTTCAGTCAGCTGAGCCATTATGATCCATTTTCATGGAACTAAAAGAAAAATAACAATTGAAAATACTTAGAGTGAGAGTACAATAGTGTAATTTTGTGGGAAGAATAATATCCAAATTGTAGTAGGGACTGTTTTTGCAGGGCACTACAATAATTAAAAAACAGTAGTGTTAATTTGTGTGCTAGAAGGTTCTGTTTCTCTGGCACAAAAAGCAGATGTTGCGACATTTTGGTTTTTTTATCAGAAGAGAAGACCTAAGTTCTCCCTACCTCCTCATCAAAGTCTTTAGTTTTGATAAATAAAAGTTTCTGTTTGCTAAGGACCCTAAGAAACTTTTCCTTGGGCTCAGATGGTATTTACCCTTACACTATGAAATAGAAGGTGAAACAGTACTGTGTGATGCAGTACGTTAGCAGAAAACAACAGTTAAAGGTTTTAATTATTGTGACAGGTAATTAAACTTCGTTCCTGTTTCTGTTTAATCGTGGGTTTAATTACTTAGCATTAATAAGAAGGAAGGTACTTGTAGAGTATAAGGAGTACTGAACAAGTTCAGTCTTGCATCTTTTCCATGTGCTTTGCTACTCAGGGCCTGATACTTGATCTTGTGCAAATGATAATGTACTGTATGAAGTTATTAGAAATACCTCATTTGTAAATCAAAAACTGTCTAAAATGTCTATACATAAAATCTTAGTCATTATTTTGAACAGTAATGTTCTCTTTTTTTTGTAGTGATAATTAGTGTGATTATTTTTTCATTTGAAGTAATTTGTTGCCTTCCAATTAAAAAAGGGCTTCCGTGCCATATACGTCTTATTTTATTTAGAATCATAGAATCATAGAATAATTTAGCAGGTGTGATATATGTAACCTTTACCTAGGAGCCAACACCATTTCATCCAGCACATACCTGATATAATGTGATGGCAGCAGTATCTTTCTGTACTGAAGTATCATGCTATCTCTATATTTGCTCACAATGTTGTTTTTCCACATTATTTTAGTACTGCTATTTTCTAATTCTGCTCTGAGAAGGAGTAGTATGATTATATGTCAAAGACAGATCTGTAGGCTTGTATCTTGTTACATTATTATTATACCAGGGAGGATAGTGCACTCAGTATCTGGTGATGCATTAAAAATTTAAGAGGCTACATTTCCAATACAGAGCTCCTGGCTTCTGTTCTCTCCCAAAAATTTTAGGCTTTTGAAATTGTGTACTTAAATAATTTTGAAATACTCCTAATTGCAAATCAATAATCTTTTTCCTGTCTGCAGTCCAAATTACAGGACTGTTAGGATCTGGGTCCCTGAATCCATAATCAGGCAGCCTTCCTCAGCACTTCACAGAATCAAGAACCAGGGAATGTCAGGGGTTGGAAGGGACCTCGAAAGATCCTCTAGTCCAGCCCCCCTGCCAGAGCAGGGTCACCTACAGTAGGTCACACAGGAACGCATCCAGGCGGGTTTTGAATGTCTCCAGAGAAGGAGACTCCACAACCTCCCTGGGCAGCCTGTGCCAGTGCTCTGTCACCCTCACAGTGAAAAAGTTTTTCCTAATATTTTTGTGGCACTTCAGACTGAAATGATTGCTGTGACATCTCCCAGGTGTCTGATTCACTCGTCACTCTTTGTCTGCAGAGGGTGCAGTAGGTGAGCTGGCAGCTTTGCGGAGTTGGCAAACTTGAGTCATTTGCAGCTGTCCTGAGCTAGGGTACTATGGCTACCTTAACTATCTGTATAAATAACCACCTGTCAGTGGTTGATTTTGCCTTTTGTAAATTCTCCCCAAAAGCTACAATCCCATTTAATTGACCTCACTTAGTTGGAATGTTGCTGATTTTTATAGATCCGCCAAAAGACAATGGAGGAGCAGCAATAAATACTTACGTTGTGGAAATGTCTGAAGGCTTAAATGGTGAGTATTAGAAGTATACGTTGGCATTCAGCTGTGCCTTTTTTTTTCTGTATGTGTATGCCTGTGGGAAGAGTAAAGTGTATATTATGACAGGTAAAGTTACTGCAAGGAGCTCCTATTAAAAAATCAGGATGATAGTGCTTGTGTGCAAGAGGTTCTTGTTCACCGGATTAGAAAGAAGATGCCTCATGTCAGAAAGAGGTGCTCCATGTTTAATTTATCAATTAGGTGTATTCTGTTTTGGAGATGAAATGACATTTCAGACATTTTAGGGCAAGAAGACAAAGCCATGTCTTTTGCAGGATGTGTGACAGGTGGAAGAAAAACTAGTGCTCCATTTATCATTATTAAAGGAGAACAGTGATGCAGTTGGGATAACCATTTCTGCTATTTACTTTTCTCTCCTTTCATACAGAAGGGAAATTAATAGTATTTCTAAACTGGGCATGAAGCTACCCAGCTAAATTATTTCCAACCCTAGACCTCTTACATAACCTTACTCAGAAACCCAGTCACATTGAGAATGAAAGTTTATCCTTCTGCAGTGCTGTGTCAGATTAAGACAGACTGCTGTCCCCAGATCGTAGGGGCAGCCCTGTCGGAGGTCTGAGCTGTGGTTCTTTTGATACTTAGTCTGTCACTTTCCTTATTCCATCACACCTCCACATTAAGCCACTTGCGGACTGGTTTACCTCAGCCTTTCATACAGATTTAGTGAGCTGGTGGGCATTAGGTTTCGTTCCCGCTTCTCTAAATTCTGTGATGTATTAAGCTGTTGGAGGTTTAATTAAAAGTCCCCAGGGTTCTTGCTTAATCTCTTAAGAAGAGAAAGGAAATGCTGAAGAGTTTCTGCTTTAAGAACCTGGCTGAATAACAAAGAACAAAGTCGTTTTTTCTGATGGTGGCGGACCGTTCAGAATACAGGAACAAGCTATATCAATTGTAAACTGTGCATACAGTCTGAAAAAATGAATGTTGTAATTAAAAGTTTCTTTTCTATAGCAGAGTTTGGGCTTTATCTTTTCTATTTATTTGGTTATAATGTTCAAATATGCTTGCTGGCCCAGTAATAACTACTTCATTAAAAAAAGGAAGATATTTTGGTTTAGCAGGTCTACCCAATTTGGCGTAGGAAACTATGAAATGATTGGATCTCTTCCCAGGAAACTCAAAGAGATCCTTATTTATTTTTCTTTTATAAACATTAGGCGCACACTTACTTAAGTGAAGCTAGGACACCTGCTGTGGCTGGTACTGAAGTATGGCAAATTACACCTTGGTTCATTGCACACTTGTTCCTAACCTTTCAGGAAACAAATGGGACACAATATACAGCGGAGCTGCAAGGGAGCACGTGTGTGACCGACTAAATCCTGGCTGTTCCTATCGCTTACGTGTGTATTGTGTTGGGGAAGGAGGACAAAGCACGGTAATATGAGCTACTATTTTTTTAAAAAAAAAATCTTTAAGATCTAGTTCAGTAGTTAGTAAGCAAATACTGTACAGAAGTGCCTAACAAAAGCCGTAATTAATACCTAAAAAAAGTTCCAGTATTGATGCACAGTGTTTCACGTTTCTGCCCATTTCGTAAAGAAGCAAATGTGAATATTCTTTTATGATACTATAGTTTACTTAATGTGATTTTTCTTAGTTACAGAAATAGATACTATGCCTTTGCCTGTGTGAGCCATCGATAGAATGTTGTTTCTTAAGGCCTAACCCAAGACAGCAGTGTAAATTTAATGTTTCCCGTGTGGTCAGTGCAGTGCCCTGTCTGAGCAGCCGAGTCAGGCTTTACAGTCCTCAGACTTTACAGGGTCCTGCCTCATGGTCTGCTCCCATGCTCTCTTGGTCACAATCAGAACGTTTACTTTGCCCTACTTTTCAGTGTTCCTAAGCAATTTAGCACCATACTGTGCTCTCCCTCATATATACACGTCACGTACACACTTGCACTGTCACTTCTGTGGTGTAGTTCAGGCTCCAGTGCCAACGTGTCACGCTGTATTCTGTCTTCCCAGCAGCAAGTGTAACAATACCAGCCTTAGCTCTCTACAGACTTCCAGCAGGCTTTCACTGACAGGCTCATCTCGAAGCCTTGCATTGTTGGTGTTTGCCACTTTTTCCCTAGCACCCCCCTTGCTATGTGAAATTCAAAAGACGTGTGGCCAGCAGGTCGAGGGAGGTGATTCTCCCCCTCTACTCCACTCTCGTGGAACCCAACCTGGAGTACTGCGTCCAGTTCTGG